GGGTCTTGGTCGAGCATAATCGGATCTTTGCGTCGCAATACCGTACACATCTTAGGGGGAACCCGGTGAGTCGCGGGTATTCTCGGATCAAAAGCAATGGTGCCCTGCCTCGAGACCGGCCTTGCGCTGGTGTGGAATGTACGCATGACATCAGAAGATCCGATTACGCTCGACCAAGACCCTATGCAGAGCTGGATCAGGCGTTGCACACTCTGGAGGGGGGGGGGGGGGGGGTGTATACTCTGGGGGGGGGGGGGGGTTATGACTATACTCTTGCTAGCATGCATGTGTATATTATGTATATCTTCTACTGTGGCCGTGCAAAGGCCAAGTGCAACCCCAGGGATCATCCCTAAATTCTTCGTTCAGACTGAGAGTGACGGCGAGTTCTATCAGTGGGTTTAACTTTCTACTGTTGACTTACGTCGGCCAGATGGCCAGGTTGAAAAGTTGAGCTGCCCGGTTTCCCGTTTGTCACTGTCACATCTACAGTAAAACCTGTCACATGACCGCTCGGATAAGGTGACCACCTGTCCCAGAAGATCACTGCAACCAGGACCAAGGGATGCTATTTCCAGTTAAATGACCCAGGATACGGAGACCACCTGGTAGCAGAGACCACATGTTGAAGGTCCCCTGAGCGGTCGGTCGTCTTAGACAGCTCTCACTATATTTCTTACCTCTGCTTACAAGATGTATGTCGTTAAGTCGGCCAACAGACACCGTTCTCTTGGCGTCCTGCTGCAGCTCTGTCTGCGTCACTACTATGCGAGAGTCCGGCACAACGTTGTTGCAGATACCCAGCTCATACTTGTACTCGTTGTCGCTGTCCTTGAACGTGTAGCTGAGCAGGGTGGACGCACACGCGTGGACACACACACAAGCGCGCGCACACATGCAAAAGCGAGCACACATGCACAAACATACACACACACACCTCTCTCTCTTTAGACCATGAGCACGCCCATCACAGACGGCAATGCAAAAAAAATCTGTGCAGGAGTAGCAGCATAGGGGGGGGGGGGGGGGGGACAGACAGCTTACAGGGATTGCTAGGTGTAGGTCCCTATACGCCCCACTCCCTACATGCACAGCTCCATCAATGAACTTTGTATCAGCAAGATTACTACTAGTACAGTAAAGTACCGCCAGAGCGACCCGTCTCGCCAGAGCGCCCCACCTTGATTTTACAGCCAGGGAAAGGAAAACCGTATGGTAGAGTGCAACGCAGTTTGTACGGCGTGAGAACCTTAGTGTACTAAGGTCACACTTAGCAGGTTTTGCGTACGTGGAGCTCGTGTTCGCTCGAGGGTACGGATTGTCTGCAGAACGTGCAATATGTGTACAAAGTTAGTGTTGTATGACCCACAGACAGGAGTCCACCTCCACAAAACTACCACGAAAGGACGTGATGGCGGGGCGCTCTGGCGGTACTTTACGCTTCTACCGTAGAAGCCCTTAAATACGCCTACCCAGTATATTTACACTACCCAGTATAACACCCACTACCCAGTATAACACCCACTACCCAGTATAACACCCACTACCCAGTATAACACCCACTACCCAGTATAACACCCACTACCCAGTATAACACCCACTACCCAGTATAGCACCCACTACCCAGTATAACACCCACTACCCAGTATAACGCCCACTACCCGTGTACGCGCCCAGTTGCCGCGTGGCAACACTCTTGTCCCATTTTCTAGCCCACCTCCGTGTAAACACCCATGGTCAAAATCACCGGCCCAGTAGACAGCACGGTTCATGCTCTGCTGCACGTGTATGTATGGTAGTGTAGTACAATGTGGTGATTGTAGAACTTAGTGTACAGTACACTTTGTTTACCGTATTAGCAAGTACAGTACATAACCCCACCCCCCAGAGTGTGCAACACCTGATCCAGCTCTGCATAGGGTCATCAAGAGTACATAACCCCACCTCAGAGTGTGCAACACCTGATCCAGATCTGCATAGGGTCATCAAGAGTACATAACCCCACCCCAGAGTGTGCAACACCTGATCCAGCTCTGCATAGGGTCATCAAGAGTACATAACCCCACCCCAGAGTGTGCAACACCTGATCCAGCTCTGCATAGGGTCATCAAGAGTACATAACCCCCCAGAGTGTGCAACGCCTGATCCAGCTCTGCATAGGGTCATCAAGAGTACATAACCCCACCTCAGAGTGTGCAACGCCTGATCCAGCTCTGCATAGGGTCATCAAGAGTACATAACCCCCCAGAGTGTGCAACACCTGATCCAGCTCTGCATAGGGTCATCAAGAGTACATAACCCCCAGAGTGTGCAACACCTGATCCAGCTCTGCATAGGGTCTTGGTCGAGCGTAATTGGATCTTTTGCGTCATAATACCGTACACATCTGAGGGGGTCGCGAGGAGTCGCGGGGACTCTCGGATCAAAAATAACGTTGCCCCGCCTTGCGCTGGTGTGGAGTGTACGCATGACATCAGAAGATCCGATTACGCTCGACCAAGACCCTATGCAGAGCTGGATCAGGTGTTGCACACTCTGGGGGGGGGGGGGGGGGGGGGGGGGAGTTATGTACTCTTGCTTATACGTACATGTACCTGTAAGGCTGTTGTTAGTTTTACAGCATGAAACAAGGTGGAGGACACTGTGTTGGGAAACAGTGACCTTACTACAACCATCCACTGTTGTACCTGTACTAGTACGACATGATGTGAACAATTTGTTTGATTTCACTTATCCCATATTAGCACCCAGGCCCAAATTGACCGCCCATGTTCTTGACCTTCACTAACGTTTCCGCCCAGGGTCTTATCACTGGCTTTACGGTTGTTCATGTATGTACATGCAGTCATGCACATGGATTTGAAATCCTCCAACTACTGCTGATACTGCTAGTACATGACATTGTACTTGTGGGATAGAAGTCTTGAAGAGGAGGCCAATGAAATCAGGGAAAAGAGGACTTACTTTATTCCAAGCAATACATGGCTGGGGTAGCCAATGACCACTTTGCGTGGCGACTGCAGTGTTTTTATAGCCATGCAACCACGGCTTCACACCGCTCCACCTCACCAAGTGATGAAGACTTACACGGTTGGCGACACAAAATCTGCAATTTTCATGCCTTTCAGTTTCTTTTTGCAGTCTGCATCGACCGTTGATTCAAACAAGGTACTCGTCTCAGATGCGACTAATCCCAGAGCGGCCCAAGCACAAGACAATAGTCTTACTAGTTTCGTCATCATCCAGTAACTTTCGGCATTCTTTGTTGCCGTTATGCGTAGCTCGTGCTCTTCTTCGTTGCGCTTTCCTTCCCCTCTTGGACCTTTCCGAACCTGAGCCTTCCAAGTTGAAAGGTTGTTGGTTTGCGCCTTGGAGAAGTGTTGGAGCTAGGTGTCAGGTCGCCGAATGTCTCAGTACTTCTTGTCAGTTTTGTGCCATTTTGTCGCACTCGCCGACTGTATAAGATCTGGTTACGTTGGTGGACAGTTAGTCATAACTCGTAACATTTTCTCCTTCTTCTTTTCACAGTTAATAATTTACTTAGAGACATGTAACAGGCGTTTCTTTCTTGACCAACCCACCCATCCCAGAAACGCCCCCCCCCAAAAACTGCAGATATTACCACTCATAATCAACACCATACTATCGAGAGTATATAACGGGGGATATATACCCTTGATACTATGCACACATATACAGTACAGTCGACTCCACTTATAACAAACTCGCATATAGTGAATTTCGTGATACTTATAGCGAACCCTTGTCCATGTCCCTGTTTGAACTCTTTCAAAATTGACCCGTTATCATGTTTATACTTTTAAGTAGTGAACAGGTATGTGTCCCTGACGCGTGCAGTGTAGTGTAGTGTGTCTCAACGCCTACCTGTACTACTAGCTGTAGCAATGCCATATCATGCACATATACATGTACTACTAGCTGTAGCAATGACATATCATGCACATACATGTACTACTAGCTGTAGCAATGCCATATCATGCACATATACATGTACTACTAGCTGTAGCAATGCCATATCATGCACATATACATGTACTACTAGCTGTAGCAATGCCATATCATGCACATATACATGTACTACTAGCTGTAGCAATGCCATATCATGCACATATACATGTACTACTAGCTGTAGCAATGCCATATCATGCACATATACATGTACTACTAGCTGTAGCAATACCATATCATGCACATATACATGTACTACTAGCTGTAGCAATGCCATATCATGCACATATACATGTACTACTAGCTGTAGCAATGCCATATCATGCACATATACATGTTCTACTAGCTGTAGCAATGCCATATCATGCACATATACATGTACACGCGGGGTATGGTATGCATGCACTCCAAAATGTTTTTTTAGAAACGCCTTTCAGGCGAACCAACCCACCAGAAACGCCTGTCAGACGTCTCTAAGTAAATACATGTATTTACGGACGGCCCCTAGCTCTCAATCACATACGTTTGCATGGGGAAGGGCGAGAGATCTGGCACATGACGTCAGTATTTGCACAAAACATGAGTAGTAATATTACCACTAAAACCCACCCACAGGTGCCCGGTATACCTACAGTGTAGGTGCCCGTAACTTTGAGGTCCGGGTTAGAGAGACATGAGTGTACTAGTGCAGATTTAACGTTGTTAGTACGACATAGGTTACAAGACAACCGTCATTAGCAGACAAAGATCTTAAATTCCCTGACACCGTGTGTACATTGTGTAATGGCAGTACACACGACACAGAGCACCACGCATCATTCATTGTAACTTATTGTTTCATGCCCATAGGCAACGAATGATGCGTGGTGCTCTGTGATGTGTGTAAGATAGCTCTATTTGAGCACTCTACTGAGCCAGAGGACTCTCATTTGTATAACGGTAGTATACCGTATTTTCCCCAATAAATGTACAGTACTTTTATTTTTTCAAAGGTGGTCAGACCTGTACTACTATAGGAGACTGTACTAGTATTGGAGACGTGTACTTTTATTGTTTCTGGGAAGATTGATTGCCTGGGTTGGGTGGCAAACAACTCGTGATAATGATGCTGTAAGGCTGTAAATACACCCAACCATGGTAAGAATCAGTGTACAAAGACACAAATATGATGAACGGGTAAGAAAAACGAAGTAAGGTGGACCCTGGTATCTGTACCCCACTAATGCCCATCACATCATTCCGGCATGTACTATTATTAGAGACGTGTCCTTTTATATTTTCGATCCACACCTAACATGTACTACAATTGGGGACGTACTAGTAATGGAGACGTGTACGTTTAATGGGGAAAATACAGTATGCAAATCCGGATAAGAGACAATTCGTTTGTAGAAAAATTCATTATAAAAATCACCTTTAGCTGTCTCACAAGTTTGATTCCCAGTCATTACAAGACAAAGCAAATGACCATGGACTACAAAATTGCTCGGATGGTCCCATGTTGCCCTGCCAGCAGCTAGGCGGAATGTTTGAATGTGATTTGTCTGGATTTGTTTTTTTCTAGCTCCTGTAGTTCGATCAATGTTTCATGTTGTCTTGTATAGGAGGGGCTGGATTAAAATTGTTTTACAATGGGTTGTCTTGTACAGGGGTCAGGGGAAAACTTTGCCTTGCAATGGGGAAACAGCGTTCCTGATCTGGATACAGTATCTAGTATATACGAGTATATGATTTACTGTCGTGAACATGGAAATTCAGTCAATTGACCGGGGCCCGGCGCCCTCAGCGCCTACAGAACAGTGCACATGTTGATCCGATGCGACCAGCATAATAATGTCATGCATGTGTGTACTGCTTACCCATGGCTGCATGGCCAGCGGCCTGGGGCCGCTAGACGTGCGACCGGATTTCCATGTCCATGACAGTAGAACAGCAGAAAAATATGCACGTCATGTTCGTAAGGGGCCGTCCGTAAATGTCGATAGTTTTTACAATCCGTGAAATTTTCGTACCTGGGTGGTGGGTGCAGCCGAAATTCAAAGTAAATAAAATATCGATGACACGCGGACCTGGCGCCCAGTACTGCGTGTGCGTGGGTCTGCGTGCGTCGAACCACACGTACACGTAGATTGTTGTCTCCAAAAATGTAGTGGAGATCGAAACTCTTGAAGCAAAAGAAAGAGGGAAGTTTGTCAGATATTATTCACAAGTATAATTATTGCACAATTATTCGAAGTATCACAATACCTGATTAATCCGGGTCAAGTCCAGCTCTTATTTGAACTCCACATCGAAGAATTGCTACATCGCCAATGGTTGGAACAGTTCCCATGTGGAGCGTGGCCTAACGAAAATGGCACGGCAGACTACTTTGTTTGGTACAGCTGCCTAACGAAAATGGCACGGCAGACTACTTTGTTTGGTACAGCTGCCAAAAAAGATAAGTTTTTCAAAGAGCTTGACAGCCCTGGTGAAGACGACGATGGCTACTACGCCGTCATCGAGGCGTAGTAGGCGTACGCGTAGATGACTCTAGTATTTAGTTATGAATGACACGGTGAGCGCATGCCTGCGTGTGTATGGACTCCACCTATTATTATTATTTATAATTTTATTATTTTTTCTTATTTATTTATTTATTTTGTTAGGAAAAAAACCTACATTTATGTAGGTACAGTACATGTGTCATCAATATTTTATTCCGTAAAAAGTAGGGGGGTGGGTGGTGGGTCCTGGTTACTTTGAAAAATTCACGGATTGAAAAAACTATCGATATTTACGGATGGCCCCTAAGCAATACTCGTTAAAATAGTAAAAATCTATAAAACGAAAATGCTGAATCCTCACCCCCGAGGTTGTCTGCTAGTCTAAGAGGGTCGACCAGTAAGACCTACAGTCACATTTCTACCTAGTGCGGTAACAACGCATGCATTCCCGGATACACTGTACATATGTGGTATGTTCAGGAAATACAAAATATTGTAAACTTTACCTGCCGATGCTGCACAATGCAGCTGGCAATTGATAGTGGCTCCTCCAACTCCGCGGTCCGGTGATGGCCGCAAGGAGTCTTCACTTCCCCGCAGAACTAGCACGAGCTCGTGACAAAACGCTACACAAAATGACCAGCTCAAACACCACACAACCTTCCTGTTCCATTACCGACTGTAAACAAACCAAATAATCACTGACTGCACTGCGTGGGACGGCGCAGTAAGTGCCTGGAAAACAAGATACTGGTGGCATGACTCACTTTTTTCTTCTGCGGCCGGGGGGGGGGGGGGGTACTCTGTAGACGTGTAGTCGCGTGCGCACAGCGCAGGGGCCTGACGAGCTGACAGTGCTGCAGTGCTGGAGCTGTGGATGGTAGACCGACCGTTGTAGACTTGTCACCATGGTCACGACTGACACAAAAATAAGTCCTGACCCCGTCTGCACGTCTACATCACTACATGTCATAGGCATGGTCATGGAAATCGATACTGCATTCGGTGCATCGAATCAACAAGACCAGTCCTTCTTTCGCGTTTGACAGCACTCCTTGTTGTCTAGATATCCGAGTCTGATGTCGCCAAGGCCGTGCGTCATGTCACCTCATTTTAGCGCTGCGTCTCAGCCAGGAATCCCTCATCATCTCACAGTCTCACACGTCTAGGCTCCACGTCTCTAGCTATACTACCACTACCATGACTACTGCAGTACTGGCACTAGACTTTCAAGTCTCATCAGGTCGTCTACCAAGTACCATGGTCTACGTACAGTGGGTATGTAGATCTACTGTAGCGGACATGATTGGTATTAGACCTTGTTTTACTTGACTGACTCACGACTGCCATCCAGAGCACACGAGAAGTCCATCGAACCGTCCACTCGCCAAACCTGCAAGAAAGCAGCACTCCCTGCTCAATACACAGTGTTTCTGGGAATTCACCCCTCATCAGTTGAGCTTGAGTCGCGTTCGGAAACAGTGACCTTACTACTCAAGTACCATGAGTACGACCATCCGCAGTTGGTAGAGCCCCGGTCTTTACGACCATCTGAACGGTATGGTGTTAGACCCGGTGGTTCTGATCCTCTTTATTCTAGGCTGGGAGTTGTCTTACTGGTTCAGTGGTAGTCTGAGCTGTCGAGTTGTGAGTCGAATGGTCGTGGTCCGAGGAAGCTGAGACGCTCCCTTCCTACTTGAATCCCAATCGAACTCGCGCACTTCCACCGAAACTGGGTGACTGCGCCCTACGAGATGGGGAGTTGTATGCAAAATGTCACTAAAAGCGCCATTTCGTTCTTATAAAAGCACGGATGACCGCGATTGGCCCATATGTTGTAGTCTTTTGGACGCTGAGTCGACTGGTTTTGGTCCGAAAAGGCTGCGATGCAGCGTTCCTCCTTTATTCCCAATCGAACATGGTTGAACAAGTGGTCACGTGCTCCTGGGTGCCCAAATCACCTGGTCACCACGCCAGCAGGCGACAACTTTCACACCAAGGTTCAACTCGAGTTCAACTCGAGTGACAGGAGTGCACCCAAAAAAGGTCAAACAGGCTAGTAAGTTTTACCCTGCAGGCACGGTGACCAGGTGACTGGTGTACGCAGGAGCACGTGACCGCTTGTTCAACCATGTTCGATTGGGAATAAAGGAGGAACGCCGCATCGCAGCTTTTTCGGACCAAAACCAGTCGACTCAGCGTCCAAAAGACTACAACATATGGGCCAATCGCGGTCATCCATGCTTTTATAAGAACGAAATGGCGCTTTTAGTGACATTTTGCATACAAATCACCATCTAGTAGGGCGCAGTCACCCAGTTTCGGTGGAAGTACGCGAGTTCGATTGGGATTCAAGTAGGAAGGGAGCGTCTCAGCTTCCTCGGACCACGACCATTCGACTCAGCACCCCGAAGACTACAACATTATATTATTTTATTTACTGGTGAAATTTTAATTTTTGCCTTAATTAACTTCCCCTTTAAAAAGAGTCAAACTACAGTAAAACCTGTAAAGGCGACCACTCGGATAAGGCGACCACCTGTCCTGGAAGACCACTGCAATCAGGACCAAGGGATGCTATTTCCAGTCAATTGACCCTGGATACGGCGACCACCTGGTGACAGAGACCACATTTTGAATCTCCCTTGAGCGAGCGGTCGTGGTAGACAAGTTTCACTGTATAAGTAGGGAGTGTTCTATTTATTTCCGAAATTGGTTTGTCTTTTTGCTTTGACTCTCACTTCATGGTTTCACGCGATTGGCCCAATTGGTGTTCTAAAAGCAGTCAATAGGGCTTGAAAGTGATGACGTCAAAAACGCCCTGGGAGTAGTAAATTGACATCAGATTTCTATTTTGGATCCACTAAGGTGTGACTTTGCTATTGCCTCAGTATGTGGGTGCATAGCAACCCACCCATGTCGTATGCAGGTGCAACTTTTACTTCGCCACCAGTTGTCACCCCGCCCCCACTAGCCAAATCAGTCAGTTTCACTGGCAACATCACCTTGCTGTGAGTGAGACCGCTTGAAATGTGCTTGGATCCATACAAAAACTGGATCCAGGTGGATCCAGTTTTCGAATTTTTCAAATTGTTGCTATGCCATTGCTATGGAGTGACGTAGCACTTTCAAGCCCTATATAGCTCTAAGGAGTGAAATATGAACTCGGGGAATATTTGGCTTCTTAGGTACTGTACTGTAGTAACGCTATAGAGTCATGTAGTGTTATGTCCCGAAACGTTGGGCGCCAAATGTTATGTCCCGGTTTCGCTCAGTCAGCAGAGCACGAGGGTACAGTAATGGATAATGGTTATCATACAGAATTGCACACTTATTCAGAGAGAGAGAGAAAGAGTTCTCAGGTAATACACTGTAGTCTAGCATGAAACTAATCCCGTACTAGTCCGTAGGAAACTAGAAAGGCAGCAGCTTTTATAGGGTGAGTAAGTAAGTTAGCCTATGGTCAGGGGATACGTAGAGCAGAGAGAAGTAAGAAGAAAGGTCAAACTACAAGGTACATGATTGTGTGGGCAGAAGAATGGGAAAGGTCGGGACATGGCACCTGTGCAAGAGGAATACGTTGTAGAGGAAGAACTGAATAGAAGGGTGTACAATACATCGTATACATGTAGGCGTGCAATAATACCAGGAGGACAACTGTTGAAAGGGGCATTAGGATGTATGGACAGCTGTTAGTGTAGATAACTAAAAGTGCGGCTGAAAGTGAAATGCATCAAAAGGTCTCCAGTGTGCTATCTAAGGTCAACCTCGAAAGTGAGTGGGAACAATACATGAATACAGCGCATAGTATAGTATTAGTAGTGCATGTAAAAGAGGATAGAAGGTGAGGCTGGTGTAACAAGTCAAGTACATGTGCATGTCATAATAATGTATGTATTCCTATCTAACATAGCCCTCCCCTTTGCGGGCGCATGTCCTCATGCGAAGAAAAGTAAGAGGGGACATGTACATGTACATGCATTGCAGCAAACAGAAAAGTACAAGGCAGTACTAGCAGTATAACTATAAGACAATGGCATGAAGAAAGAAAAAGAATGAGTAGCGGGCGGGGGTGGGGTACTTCATAGGGAGTGGGTGTGATGAGGAATGATGAGTGTGTGTAGAAGAGCTGGATTGTTGTAAGGAACTGGCCGTATGATTGTATTGTACTTTGTAGCTGTGGAGTGTGGCGCGGGCGGATGTGATCATGGATTCGTGTAATGTAATTTGTAATCATGGATTGTCATGTGTGGCAGGACAGTATGACTAGTCTTGGTAGACTGAGAATAAAGTAGGGACCCTGTGTGTAATGTAAATGTGTGAAGGACCTGTCTCTCTGTGGAGCGGTAAAATATGTTCACGTCTCAATTATTTTGGACGGTGAAAAAGGAATGTGTAAAATATCGCGTCACTGTGGACGGTAACAGTTCTTAAAATAATCTCGTCTCTCTGGGACGGTAAAACTGGGAAAGTATACTCGCTCATCATGTGGCGGTATATCATGTTACATGGATTTGTGAGCTGAGTGCGTGCGTGCAGGGTATACAGTATTTTGCGTCTGTTCAAGGGCAGGGACTGGTGACTGCTGATCCAGCAAACTGATTGCATGGTCTGTATGTGGTTGACATGGTCTGTATGGGTAATGAAGATGCTAGGAAGCTGTGTTGTCAGAAACTTGAGAAAGCTGTTGTGCTTGAGTGTGGCCATTGTAACATGTTGAGTGATCCAGAACTACAATCGTCATGTAGGTACAGTACTGTGTACTGAGTCTGTATGCATCTGTATGTAGAGAGAGTTTTGAACTTTTGATAGAATGGTGGGCTGGGAGTGGGATGGGGTGAATGATGCGACGTGAGAGTGTGAAAATAGGACTGAAACAACTACATTCTATGCCTATGATAGCGGAAAGACAGCGAATAAACGAGCGAGGGATAGCGTAGTTTGTATGATAGGGTTGGCACAGTGAAACGACTTACTAGATATTTCCGTAGATGTGGTTGAAGAGTTTCTCGTAGTAGGTTCAGGAAGGAGAATCAACGTTGACAGACACTGCGTGCGATTGGTCAGACATAGCGCTATGAGGTAGGGGATTGTCCACGTACTCAGCATAAGCCTTCATATCATCTTGCGAATCTTCTTGCCTACGTGCTTGGCATGACACAGCATTGTTGACAGCCAGACATACCACTAGAGTGACGAAGAAGACTGGGACGAACTTCATCTTGACGAATAGGATTAGGAGGAGAAAGACTTGTGCAATAAAATACTCGCTACGATTGAATACGGAAATCTCAGGTCGTCGTGGGTTCGGAACCGCTGTTGGGCGCCAAATGTTATGTCCCGAAACGTTGGGCGCCAAATGTTATGTCCCGGTTTCGCTCAGTCAGCAGAGCACGAGGGTACAGTAATGGATAATGGTTATCATACAGAATTGCACACTTATTCAGAGAGAGAGAGAAAGAGTTCTCAGGTAATACACTGTAGTCTAGCATGAAACTAATCCCGTACTAGTCCGTAGGAAACTAGAAAGGCAGCAGCTTTTATAGGGTGAGTAAGTAAGTTAGCCTATGGTCAGGGGATACGTAGAGCAGAGAGAAGTAAGAAGAAAGGTCAAACTACAAGGTACATGATTGTGTGGGCAGAAGAATGGGAAAGGTCGGGACATGGCACCTGTGCAAGAGGAATACGTTGTAGAGGAAGAACTGAATAGAAGGGTGTACAATACATCGTATACATGTAGGCGTGCAATAATACCAGGAGGACAACTGTTGAAAGGGGCATTAGGATGTATGGACAGCTGTTAGTGTAGATAACTAAAAGTGCGGCTGAAAGTGAAATGCATCAAAAGGTCTCCAGTGTGCTATCTAAGGTCAACCTCGAAAGTGAGTGGGAACAATACATGAATACAGCGCATAGTATAGTATTAGTAGTGCATGTAAAAGAGGATAGAAGGTGAGGCTGGTGTAACAAGTCAAGTACATGTGCATGTCATAATAATGTATGTATTCCTATCTAACAGTAGCAACAATCATTGGAAACTTAGAGAGGGATACTACCGTACTGGCAATATATGTTGCCGCAGTGAGGCCATGAAGCGTTACATTGGCACATGTTTGCCGCACGCAGGGCGTTACATGCAAAGTCGCACAGGAGCCGTTACACAGGTTTCTATATTGCCGCAGTCCTTTTTTTTGCTATTGCCGCATCACTTTTTTGCTATTGCCGCATCATTTTTTTGCTTTTGCCGCATCATTTTTTTTTCATCCACATTGAATGCACAGAAATTCAGTTGCTATCCAACTGTTACAAACCCGACGGCAAAGGGCGACAACGATATCAATAGAAGACTGTATATTTTAACTATCAGAGTGATCTGTTCACAAAAAGATCATCAAAAGGAAAGTGACATAGGGGAAGAGCGCTTCCTCCAAAAACTACTTTTCACCACGCGGTACACGTGCTTTCACAGTTTCCAGCCTTTTTTTGCAGTGCAAACTGCAATGAAAAGATCGCCGCACCCCGCCGGACGCGCGTTACGAACTCAACGAAAATTTGTCGCACTAGCCTGGTCGCGCGTTACGCCGCCCCCCCTGCGTTACGCGTTACGCAGCAACATATATTGCCAGTACGGTAACTATTACTACTCCTGACTCACATAGAGTTTGAAACTCGCATATACACAGTCAGGAAGTGCAACAACTAGGCACAACACTGACAGAGTACTGGGACGTTGGACGACCTGACACGTAGCTTCAGCACATCTCCGTAGCGCTAACCAACAGCCTTCCAACTCGGAAGGTTCAAGGTTAAGAAGAGACCAAAGAGGAGAAGGTAAGCGCAACGAAAACGAGCACAAGCTACAGCCCCACGGGAACAAAGAATGTCGATTGTTACTGGACGATGACCCCCTAAGTGGTCAAATATTCCTGCAGGCTTATAATTAAATTGGACTCCTTTGTTCACATGCCTTGGCTAGTCGTGATAAACCTAAAAAAATCATAGGTTGAGAGAATGGAAAATTCTGAAACTGACTGACATCACCAGCACTCGAACCAGGGACCTTCGCTTGAGGTCAGCGATGCTCAGTAAGATACTACCAAGAGTACATAGCCCACTCTTGTTACTACTAACCAGGAGTCATAAAATACCGACTCCCTGTTACTAACCACTTACATTGTAGCTATGGTGTACTTGCTGTTTTAATACACAATTTAAAAAATGTATAATAATAAAACTCAAAGGCACACAATGAAAACATTGGGCAAATTCCGTTGTGACTCAGAGTTTCATGGCTGAACCAATCATCAGACAACAACGGAATTTGCCCAAGGTTTTCATTGTGTGCCTTTGTGTACGCCGCTCTGCCTGAATCAGGTATTGAGCACTTTCGCAGAACCTTAAGCATACTGCCTCTGTGCAATAATAAAACTCATAAAAGACGTTGGCTTCACCTCGAGTCTGTACGAGTACGACTCGTACACCTGCTGCGTTGCACAGCAAACCGACATCAATGAGGTCACTACAGCGTAGCGTAGACAACAGTAAGTTCACGCCACTGTTGCCATGGTAACTATTCACTGGAAACTATTGCACTTCAATAGCAGTACAAATAATCTAAAGTATTCACTTCAAAACTAACAAAAACAAAGGAAAAGACAAAGAGCCATGGCTGCCTGTATGTACCGGGTACTGGGTACCGAGTATAGGATACTACCAAGAGAACATTGTATCTGAAAACCAGTGACAGTGGTGACATGATGCCTCCATGGCCTGGTGTCAGAGAAAGGAGAAAAAGAAGAGAACGAACCAGTACAGCAATGTAACAGTGCATGTACAGCAATGTACCAGTGCGGCAATGTACCAGTACAGCAATGTACCAGTACAGCAATGTATTGCTGTACCGGTACAGCAATGTACCAGTTCAGCAATGTACCAGTACAGCAATGTACCAGTACAGCAATGTGCCAGTACAGCAATGCGCCAGTACAGCAATGTGCCGTGGCACAACCCAGCGGACAGGGGGAGGATCAGGGTGATGCCATTGTATCCTAAACAAAATTGGCCAATAAACGAGAGAAGCAGCGGGAAAGACGAGGAAAAGATCCGAGCAGACTGCAGGCCTGAGTGCTGCAATTCTGTTCGAATGCGCCAAGTAAAGTCAAGCAAACTTAGAAAAGTCACATACATTCACACGCTGCACCTGCTCCTGCTCCCAACCGGGATGCAGTGTGAGCAGACTAGCACTAGCAGTGGCTAGCAGTGACTAGTAGCAGACATCTAGTAATGTGTCTCCATTCATACTACACAGGGTGTAGACTATGACAGAGACCTTCACAGGAGCGGGCAACCAATCAACGGCGGGACATGGAGCAGGCGTGCAGGATACTCGAAAGGGGGACAAAGCCTTGCCCGGCGTAATTGTATTGTATACTTCTTGGAAACGGATGAATTATTATAATTGTACGGTGTATGCGTGACCAAGACTGACTCAACACATTTTTTATAAATATTGCATGATTTAAAAAGAAAAAAAAGGAAGAAAAGATGAAGCTCACATCGTTCACAACTTCAACGGCAACAGAAGCAGCAGCAATGGCGGCAGTCACCATTGAAACCAAAGGCAGCAGGAGCAGCAGCAGCAGCAACAGCAGCAGCAGTACTAGCGTGGATACCGGTAGTAGTGGGGGGGGGGGGGGGGGGGCAAGCGCTGAAAGCTCAGCATTGAGCTGGTGTTCACCATCACCTGGCCCAGTGGTGCTGCTGCTGGTCCTGCTGCTAGGCGGTGCAACGTCACCACTCGGCAGATGGTGAGCTATTGCACGGCGGATATACACACACACACACACACACACACACACACACACACACACACACACACACCCACGCACACACACACACGCACACACACACAGCCATGGTGGTGGTGGTGGCGGTGGCGGTGAAGCACTTGCACAAGACCACAACAAACACCAACATAGCATAGCCACTAAGCTAGCAGGCAATGTGGCGCTGGGCGAAACGCAGGCGATGCAGCAAGGTTGTAACAGCAGTAGCGTTAGTGGTGATATGCTGCCGATAATGGTGGTAGTGGTGGCAAGCGTGCACATACACACATACACACGCACACACGCACACAGACGGGAATCATCATACAGCTGCTTGCACTACGCCAGCTCATCTTCTGATAGGTCCAGTTGATGGTCACCACGACCAACCTGGAAAACGCACAGATAAAGCAATAAAACACACACACACACACACACACACACACACACACACACGCACACACACACACACACACACACACACACACACACACACACACACACACCTGTCCTGTCACACACACACACACACACACACACACACACACACACACACACACACACACACACACACACACACACGTGTACACACGATTTAGGCACTTTAATCAATAATTGTTATCGTTAGAGTAAAATTAACGACGATGAAGACAATGACGACGACGACAACAAGACTAACAAAATGTAAACAACAACACCACCAGCACCACCAACAACCATCATGAAAATAAAGATTTGAAATACCATCACCATCACAACCACCGCCACTAGCATCAGCAGCAGCAGCAGCAGCACCGTAAAGGCCAGCGGTAGCAGCAAAAACAACAACAACAACAACAACAACAACAACAACAACAACAACAACAACAACAACAACAACAACAACAACAACAACATTAACAACAACAACAACAATACCTCTTACTGGCCACTGGCGATCGTGAGAATAAAGATTTGAATAACAACAACAACAACGACGATGATGATGATGCAACGACTACAACAACAACCTCTGTTATTGTCCAATGGCCATTGTGAAAACAAACATTATAATAGTCACAACTACGGGTTGCATTGCAGGCACGACTCATTTTCAGAATTTTAAAATTACAGCTGACTCCTGATATAATGCACACCTTTGCACAGGAGACTTAGTTCTTTATAGCCAAAGTTTGTTATAACAGAGATGCAGTCACTAGTCTGTACAAGCAGCAGGTCATGAATCGGATTGACTGATATGTGACTAATGCCAGTATGAGTACACTTGATTTACATGCGCCACTACAACTTACAAGATTCGGTTTGTTGTCAACGAAAACGGCGGGCTATAAAGGGTCAATTTTGTATGGGCTCAAACAGCGACATGGACAAGGGTTCGCTATGTCACGAAATTCGCTATGTGAGAGTTCGTTATAAGTGGAGTCGAGTGACTGTTGTTGTTGTTGTTGTTGTTCTTTTTATTCGAATTCGCAATACCAAACGGGCAATAAGCCCAATTACATGGTAGCGAATAAAGCGACTGTGACCCAGAGTCACACTCAAATGATGCTAATTTCTTTTGCACCCTTGTTGAAATGTGTTTTGGTCCACTGAACAACATTTCTTGAGCACAGTAACCCCTTAGAATATGTGAATAGAAAAATCACAAAGTTTTGGTTTGCCGAGGAAGTACAAGATGTCAGGTGGGCAGTACACAATGCAGTTTGTGTAAAGTCAAGCGGATTACATAGCGAAAATGGCGTAATTCCAGAACCCATTATTTTGGCAGAAGTTTATGTGGAGCTGCACACTCTTGAAAGTTATGCACCCATTGAGTTACGAAATCACCGAGAGTTTAGAAGTGCCAGAGAGCATGCAACACCGTATGGGTTTGCTCTGGGGATCGGCCAACGGTGAACTCCCTACTTGTATGCAGAAGTGCGCAGCCTTGGCAGCTTATATCAAGTGTACAGGAAACTCAGAGTGTGCAGCTTGTGACTTGCTCTGCACGGGTGTCTGTCACGGCGAAATTCCGCGATTACATCATATTCGGTGCAGATTTGAGGCGGGCGTAGTGCGTACAACTGAGCTGCAGTTGTGCTGAAAGAAACCTGCTTGAATCCTGCTTGTACGCACTACATCACTAAAATGATGTAATCTTGGAAGTTCGCCGTGACAGCAACCCATCAGAGATGCACACTCTGGGTTTTGTGTACTGTTGATACATGCATGTATTCTTGGTAAGACTAGGAACAGAAAAGGACGAGAGAAGAGCAGCACAGCAAGATGACAGGACTCACCGATGGTATAGATTTCATTTGAATGGAAGGTGGCTTACTCCGACACAAGACATCGCAGCCGTCCTGAATCAGCAAAAGCGAAGCAAACGGACCAACAGGAAGGAGGACAAAGACCGCTCAGCAAAAAAGGTGCAGCATAAGGAATGGGCTGTGCCAATACAGTGTGTGTCTCCCGTCGCCAGTCTACTCCAGCATATATGTACATGCACGTTGTAATCCCCCCGGCATTAACCTTCCTTCCATATGCCCATTGCTGACGCGATGATAGCGAACACACTATGTTAGTCATAGCAACTTGTGTCGGGGTTACACCATTCAACAGCTTGCAAGGCTGATGAATTGACCGCCACTAATTTTAGCCTGGCCTGCAGCAGCATCAGCAGCAGCATCAGCAGCAGCAGCAACAGCAGCAGCAGCACCAGTAGCAGCAGCAGCAACAGCAGCAACAGCAGCAGCAGTAGCAGCAGCACCAGGAATAGCAGCAACAACAGCAGCAGCAGCAACAGCAGCAGCAGCAACAGCAGCAGCAGCAGCAACAGCAGCAGTAGCAACAGCAGCAGCTGCAGCAATAGCAGCAACAGCAGCAACAGCAGCAGCAGCAGCAGCAGCAATAGCAGCAGCAATAGCAGCACCAGCAGCAGCAGCAATAGCAGCAGCAGCAACAGCAGCAACAGCAGCAGTAGCAGCAGCAGCAGCAGCTGCAGCAGCAGAAGCAGTAGCAGCAGCAGTAGTAGCAGCAGCAACAGCAACAGCAGCAGCAACAGCAACAGCAGCGCTATGTTGACAATCTCTACCAGTCTACAGCTGTATTCGTACGAGAAGCAACCAGGACTAAAGCACAACATTAATTAATAAGGATCGCAGCAGCAGCAGCAGCAGCAGCAGGCAACCAATGCATAGATTTACTTACAGAAATGTGGTCTCCACACGTGATCCAGAACGAGTAGTTAGGAAACTGCTCATTGCCCTTAGCTCCGCGAACAAAGCGGTTGAAGATAAAACCGAGGATAACGTAGGCAACACCCACGCTCAGCAGCCTGGATACAGAGAGCAGAGCAGTGAGCAGAACAGAGAGCAGAACGAGTGCAGGTCACAGTCAAGTCTGTGAGAACCCAGCTACATACACGTATCATGTACACACACAAACACCCCCCCCCCCCCGCCCGCACACACAAACACCCCCCCCCCCCCCCCAACACACACACACAAACACCCCCCCCCCCCCCCCACCGCACATACAAACACCCCCCCCCCCCCCCCCCAACCTCACACACACAAACCCACACAGACACACCCAAAAGTAACAACTAAGAACTCCGGCACAACCCGCCTTAGGAAACACAACAGCAGAAGCAGCAGCAACTCCAGCAGCAGTTCCAATAACAACCGGAGCAACCACAACAGCACCACCAA